AAAAGAATTTTATGACAAGGGTTAAAAGTTTATAGCCTTGAAACTACAAAAAATTTGGTGCCCACTACAAACCACATCCTGGCAACCAATATGTCTCTGCAACGAACTACTTAAAATGGTTTTGTTGTGGTTGAGGCAATCATCTCTGAGTTAATAATTAGCTACTATTCAAATCAAGTGTAATTTGTCTATTGTATGCTAGCTCACTTTTAAGAGAAGTACAAAATTTCATTTTTAGCAGCAACATTGAATGTTATAGTCATTCATTTGTCTTCTGCTGTAAGGCAATCAAAACAAGTAGAAAAGTATGTTTTTACCACTACATGGCATCATAGTCATTTTTCAGGCAGCTGAAATTAAGTACAAATGTTATGTGCTTAATGCAGATGAATCTTTATATATAAAAAAGAACACTTTATAAAAAGGTGAAGTTTTCTATTATGCTACTTTGAAAAGTATCTAGAAATAGCACCTCTCATTTACTTAAAGCAGATTTTAATCATTCTGTGGTTTGGTTGTTGAATTTAGAATCTATAATGTTATTTTTAATTGTAATAAAAAGTGAAGTTAATCAAGATTTCTCTACTATGAAAAGTTGTGAGTCTGACAATAAAATGATTATGCCCAATAAGCAACTTTTAAATTTCAGCACATTGTGAAATATTTTTCAATAACCTGATAAAATTAATGCTTGTCATCAGTAGAATATGTTCTAATTTACAAGTATTTTTCACATCCTTTATTTCATTGAATCCTCAAAACAACCCTGTATGCTAGAAGAGGAAACACTTGTAGATTGCTCCCTCAATATTCATTTTCCCTTCCTGCATCCAAAAAGAAACCACACCATTCTCTGGGGGATCAACCTCTCCCCTGATCTCACCCATATGATTTGGGTAGAGTTAACCATATCCTAATACCATGTATGGCCTAAGCAAAAGAGCAAATTCTGTCTTTCAGGCCTCACTAATCAGTTTAGAATAGTCACTAACCTGGCACCAGTAAAATATATGGTCTTCTTTTCTGGGACTTCTAAAAAGGGGAACTTCCTTTTCCTTTATGGAAATCACTGTAAGATTACCTCAATTATATAAGATAAGAATGCAACATCTTGAACCAAGCTGACATAACTGTAGCTCCACATAAGGGAGAATGGAAGGAAACAGAAAGAAAAAGAAAAGGGAAGAGAGTACAGAAAAGGACTGAAACCAGGAAATTTTTTAAAAGACAAGCAAGACAAAGAGGCAAAAAAAGATATCCAGACTGAAGAAGCACACATGAAAAGAAAGGAGGGAACCTAGAGACGAGGAATAAGGGAAATGCAAAAAGAGAGAAAAAGGACTCTAGCTAAAGTGGGGTTCAGAAGACAAATATGTCCTCACCACCCAATCCCTTGCATTTTAGGTGGGCTTGAGCACAATTCATTTAGTCACTGCTGCCTTTTGAACTCTGTAACCAGTATTCAGCACTTAGAGGCTATTCTGCACAAGGCAGATGTAGCAAGTACACCTAACAGAATGTGCAGATAAACAGAAGGCTTTAGAGATTGAAATCAAGATTCCTACACAGGATATATGAGGCCCCTAACAATCTTGGTCCAATCAAATTTTCTGACTCTGTCTTCTGCAATTCCTCACTCATATCCCAAATTCTAGTTTTGTCATCATTTTTGTCCTTGCATTTGCTATTAGCCATGCCAAGATGACACCTTAGTGAACACCTACCAGTTCTTCAAGACTTAGCTCACTAACACCTTCAACTCTCCCACGTGACTTGGCTATTACAGATGTGTCACCTCCCTCTTCTACCCAGTTAGCACAGGGCCTGTAACACACGAAGTGCTCTATTGATTAGAGCAGGAAAAAAAGGTTGTCATCTAATGACTCCAAATGCTGTTTTTCTCAAGATTTCTCCATGTCAAAAGAAACATTGTCCCATCAGTTGAACCTCCATGACTATCTTCACTCACTGAATCAAAACATGACAGGTAACGATCCAGATGGGCTCACTTTGTTGCACTATTTCTTGTGGCTCTTGGTAAATTTTGTGGGTACAATAGGCATGAGGAGTCTTGCTGTTTCTTTCTTACAGGTGCTCTTTTGCTTCCTTTGTCTTCTATTCAAGTTGACTTATCCCCTAGATATTCACTTCAGGAATGCCTAGAGCATGGCTGTCTCTCAATGTCAAAATTTTTGGCCTTAATGAAGTAGGGAAGAGGTATGATCTGGATGTCAGAAACCAGAGTTCTTGCTATGACTCTGTTGCTCAAGCAGCTCAATACTCAGTTTCCTTGCAAGTAAAATGGCAATAAAAATTCCTGCCCTACCTGCCTATATCAAGTGATTGACCTGTCAGGATCATATACAATAGTAGATGAGAAAAGTGTATAGTGCTAAAATAAGACATAATAGATTCTTATAGTTCAAAGACAGTTAATGAGGCTTAGCCAGGCATGATGGCACATACCTACAATCCTAACACTCTGGGAGGCTGAGGCAGAAGGATTGAAAGTTCAAGCCCAGCCTGGGCAATTTAGCAGCTTAGCAAGATCCAGTTTAAAAATACAAAGCTATGTGTGGTGCATATCTGTAACCCCAAGAAGATTGCTGTGAGTTCAATGCCAGCCTGAGCTACAAAGTTTGAGCCCAACCTGAACTATATAGTGAGACCCTGCCTCAAAAAAAAGAACTAAATAGGGCTGGAGATGTAGCTCAGTGAGAAGGCTCTGGGTCAATCCCAGTAACATGTGGGAACACACAAACACACACACACACACACACACACACACACACACACACCAAAAAATGGCTAAAATAAATATCTCTCTGTGTGTTAGTTTACACTCATGTTGAATCAGCCCTGTGAGGGATTACAGTACACTGTCCTCCACCCATACCCCCAAGGAAGCACACACCCTACAATGGTGAGTCACTACTTCAGTGCTAGTAGAGATTTAAACTCACAACAGATTTTTTCCAAAGCTAATTAGTTAATAATTGAGGTACAGAGTAAAGCAATCTAGGTAGACATCAGGAGACCTACATAGAATACCAACTCCAGGAAATGCTATACAATTTGGGAGTCCTATTGAAAAATGAAAAATATAGGGCCTGCTATTCAAAAAATAATTAAAATGTCAAGATGAGAGCAGGACACTTAAACTAAGGCAAGCCATCCACAATGCACAGGTCACCTCCATGAAATTTTCACAGCTTCCATTCTTTTGGGACATGTGATTTTCGTCCAGTCACTTAATGTATCAGGTTCTTTACAGCCAGAGAAGCAAAGAAAGGACACAGTTACTTCTCATTAACTAACATCTGTGGTTCTTTGTGAAAGAGTAAGATCCTCATTTGACAAGAAGTCTTTTAACTTTTATTAAATCATTAAAATTCTGATTCTGACTCAAATCTGTTGTTGAAAATTCATACATAGTATTTCACCTTCAACCACATTGGTTTTTTTCAATTTCTATACACCTCTGTCATTTTGCCTAAGAGAAAAAAATTCTCCAAAGCAGTGTTCCAAGTTTACTATTTTCCCATGTATGCCATTTAAATCTGAAATTCCCAACTGAGGTCTCTATGTCTAGAAAATAATTTTTCCCACAGTAAAATGTCTCCTTGTACAAATTAGATATTTTCTTTTTTCTATCCCTGAAAAATTACTATCTATTCAGAATCAGCTTCCACATATGGTACAGCATCTGGGTTTGATCCAGCAAAAAGGAGACAAATGTCATGTTGAGAGTGAGTTAACCCTGTTTTTCCAACATAGTACATTAACTGAAAAATATCTAGACCAGGAGTTCTTCTTCTGAATCCATGGACAGAATTCTGGGAGTTAATTCACTTGAGTGAAAAAGAATTGCAGCTTTATTTTCATCAATCTCTAATGAAACTTTATTATTTGTTTCAATTATGAATGTAGGCCAAAAAAAAACACCAGAGTACTAGCAGTACTCATGACTCAATCACCAATAAATATTATACACATTTTCATAAGTTACTGCAAGCTTCCTGAATATCACTTATGCTCAACATTACCTCAAAATTATAATAGCATTTTACCCATCACTATATCTTGTGGTTTAATACATTAGTAAACATCATGATATATTATTATAATACATAAATTATTTTTGCATTAGAATAACTATATTTTACTATAAATTGCTTCCCTATAATCCTACCTGACTTTGTGAATTTAAAAATATGATTCCAAGGTATAGAATACGAAAGGAGTCCATGGCACATAAAAGGTGCAGAAACACTGCTCAAAAGAAGTTATGGAGTTCATGTGCCAATAAAATAGAAACAAATGTATTCTTATTTCATATTATCAATGATACAATTCTAGTAATAAAAAAGTCCTTTAAATTCTAGTTCTTCAACAACCTGTATATAACAAAATCTTCATGATTCACTTATTTTAACATGAAAATAGATACTATTTTTCTGTTGTTTTGTTATTTTAATGGCTTTTTGCTATTCTAGGTCTCTTCTGGTTCCAAATGAATTTTTGGATTCTTTTTCTAGTTCTGTGAAATATAGTGTTGGAATTTCAATTGGCATTGCATTGAATGTATACAGCAGTTTTGGTAGTATGGCCATTTTCACTATGTTGATTCTTCCTACCCAGGAGCAGGGCATATCTTTCCATTTTTTTTATATCCTCTTCAATTTCTTTTTTCAGAGTGCTGTAGTTTTCAGTGTAGAGATCTTCTGCTTCTTTTGTTAGATTGACTCCTAGATACTTCATTTTTTTGGATGCTATTGTAAAAGGAATTTTTTCCCTTATTTCTCTCTCAGTGAGTCTGTTATTTGTGTATAAGAAGGCTATTGATTTTGGGGTGTTCACCTTGTATCCAGATACTCTACTGAATCTGTCAATTAAGTCTTTTTGCATATGTGACCATATTTTCAAGATTTAATCTGAAAAAGGTATAGTCCAAACACACATTTGAACACCACTGTCTAAAATGTTATTTAGATTGGTACCTGTGATGACAGTAGGTTACAATCAATGAACACTCCTTTTCCAGTTTTACATCTTTGGATCAATCCGGCCATAATGGCTCCATAGGCATACAGGCCAGTGGCAAGATCAGTCATGGCAACACCTGGACGAACTGGATCTCCATCCTGATTTGAGGGTCAGGGTGATAAAAAGAGAGAACTGAAAATTAAAATCATTATAGGATTTCTCAACAATTCTAAATAAAAGAAATTTATATGAAGTATGCATACATACATACACAAAGAAATATAATAAATTATTGTTGATGATATCTATTGATGAGGTTTATATTTACTATATTACTATATTTCTCTCCTCAAACTCTACCAAGGAAACTAAACCAAACAAACTATAAGATTTTTTAAAACACATTAAGTTTCTTAATATATTTTACCTTGTTTATACTAAAAAAAATGAATTTGAATTTAAATAAATTAACGTGCTGATGAGGAAAGGGTTTTTTTAAAAAAAGAAGTATTTTTCTCTTATTGAGTGAAAGGCTAGCTGGGGTCGGGGGACACAGAAGATTTGGCCTAATCTATTTTATAATCATCTAAATAGCTGGCAAATATCTTAATGGTTTTTGCTTTTTATAAAAAACTACATATCTATAAAAGGATGTAGCAGGATATCCCTGGTTTAGGATTACTGCAATGAACAAACCTAACATATATAGATTATAGGCCATGGGGCACATATAGGGCATCAGCTATGCATCTAAGCATAAAATGGACATGTTTCACAGCCTATAATGCTGCTCACTATATTGGATAGACTGTATATTTTATTAAAGATTTTATCCACTGCTCTGGGCTTCAAAGTCTTGTCTATTGTAATAAGAAAGAATCTGGTAGCCTCTCTCAGTATGAAGGACCTTGCTGCTGCAGCTGTGCCTTTTGATTGCTTCTATCTTTGAAATTATAAATGAAGTTTGATGCTAATTAACACCTCTTATTCACGTCAGTCTGCTTTGATAATGCAGTCCTTAGCTCATACATAAAGATACTGGAAGGGTACCCAACACACCATAAGTCCTCTATAAAAATGTACTATCAACATCCTATTAGACAGCTTCTACTTTTCACTACTTGGAATTTTGCTAAATTGCACAAAATATCTAAAAACATTTGCATTTTATATTTCATCTGATTGATAACGCTCATCATTCATACCCCAAATGGATAATTCCAGTAGTTGTTAAGTCATTTTCAGAAACTAATTTTTCCCTTTCTGAAGCCCATGCATATACCACATTAATCATCTTACAATAGTACCAAGCAATGTTAAAAGCAAGTAAGTGAGATATACAGTGCCTAAAATGTTTTCCCCTGCTTTTCAACACAATTTCAAAAAAGATATTGCCATGTAAACCAAGAATATCTAACAGTTTCTATTATTATTATTGTTATTATTATTATTATTATTATTATTATTATTATTACAAACTTGTAATGTAATGGCTTGAATCAGTAAACATATTTGTCATTGGGAGTTAAGATTGTTCAATGTATTAAAAGTGAAAGACAAGTTTAAATTTAAGTTTATAGTTTTCTTCTCACTGTGAAGTGAATATAATCATATTTTATCTTCTATACCTCTTGGACCAATAGGAATAATTAAGATAATAAGTCCTTTAAATTATATTTTAACTTGGAGGCACATCCCTATAATCCCAGCAATTAGGAGGCTGATGCAAGGGAATCTAAGAGTTCAAGGCCAGTTTGGACTATGTAGTGAGTTCAAGGCCAGCCTGAACTACATAGCAATACCCTGTCTCAAAGAAATATCATATTTTAAATTTTTAAAGAAGGGGAACTACCTTTGATTAATAGTCTGAAAAAATTATTACATTATTCAAAGTAATAACATGAGATGTGTGAACATTAAGTAAACAAAAATTATATAAATTATAAATAATATTACCCATGTATTAGAGACATCATTGCCACAGGTAAAAAAAATAACTATTTGTGCTAAACAATTTTAGTAGAACACTAATTGAGAGGAACTTGCTTTTAGAGTCAGAAATACAAACAAGTTGAAAATAAAAATATGACATAGCATGCAAATAGGTGTCACAAGAAAATTGGAGAGGCTGTATTAGTATCAGCTAAAATATACTTTGAAACAAAAAAAAGTACCTAGAGAAAAATGAGGATTTTTGTAATGAGAAAAAGGGTTAAAGGAATGTGAAAGACAGAGAACCCTACAACTAACAACAGAAATATCACACTAAACAAACCAAAAAGTAACAGTCCAATACAAGAAAAAGACAATTCAGGAATAAATAATAGGAAATTTAAATGGGCAAATCTGAACGGGGGATGAAACAGCTAAAGAGAAGATCACAGAGAAATAGTATAAGCCAACCATATCTAACATATCTAAAAAATAGGTCATCTAATAACAAAATGTGCATTCTTCTCAAGTACAGATGGGACATGCTCTAGGACAGACCATATCCTACAATATAAAGCAAACTAAATTACACTTTATTTCCTTCTTTTCGTTATCACACATTTTTTTTCTTTTCCTTTATTACCCTTCCCCCTACCCATCCCACCTTCCCCACATCTTTAGCCCCTTTCTTCCCATTTCACAATGTCAGTAATCGGAGCGGGTGAAGGGAGGGCAGGGACAAGGGGAAAAAATGAGAACCAAGACCCGTCATGTAGAGGTACAGGATCCCAACGATGAATGTAACTGTACTGTATCCCTAAAATGTACCAATAAACTCAATTAAAGCTGAAAAAAATTAAAATATATTTTTACAAAGTGAATTCACACAAAATATGTGTCAAGACCAGAATGGGATGAAATTAGAATCAATAACAGAAGCATACTTGGGAAATTCAAAAGTATATAAAGAAGAAAAGGAGTGTAGGTCAGTGGAAGAGCACTTGCTCACATGTGCAAGACCTTGGGTGGTTTGAGCCACAGTACCACCAAAAAATGTGTGTGTGTGTGTGTGTGTGTGTGTGTGTGTGTGTGTTTACATACTCCCAGAACAATTATGAGTAACAAAGAAAATCACATCAAAAATTAAAAAATATTTTGAGATGAATGAAAATAAAAGCACAAGATAATCTAACTTATAGAATGCAACTAAAGCAGTATTTGACAGAAATTTACATGCCTATAGTAAAAAAAGATCTCAGAAAAAAAGGATCTCAGATCTAACAAGTGAAAAAAGAGCAAACTGCACCCGTCAAGATAAATGAAAATATTACATATGAGTATAAGTAATGAAAGAATAGAAAACCAATAAAGAAAAAATTAAAGATGATTCTTGAAAAGACCAACAAAATTGAGAAACTTTTTAGAAATTTCCAAGAAAGACACTGAAATTGATAAAATCAGGATAAGAAAAGTGTAGAAAATCATGATAAACCAACTAAAAAAACTCCTAGAACTAATATATGACTTAAGCAAAATTTCAAGTACCAGACAATATATGAAAATCAACTTCACTCTATGCAGTAGTAAAAAACAAAAAATAAAATTAAGAAAATAATTCAATTTTCAAAAACATCAAATAGAAAAAATATTACTTAGAAGTAAATTTAACAAAGGAAGAATATCCTCATAATCTGAAAATTACAAATCGTTGAAAAAAATTAAAGACTACCTAAACACAAAGACATGTTGTATATTTTGGTCATGGACTATAAAACCTAGTATTGTTAATATGGTATTATTTCCCAAACTGATCTACAGATTCGGCATAATCCTGCCTACCAAAGTCTAGGTGATTTTTTTGCAGAAAGAAAAATTTAGATTCTAAAATTCATATGAAAATATCAAAAACAAAATAGCCAGAATAATCTAAGGGAATAAAGTTGAAGGACTCATTCTCCCAAAATCAAAACTTACTACAAAGCCAACAGAATCAAGCTTCACAATACCAGCAACACAAAAAAAGTATAAATAATAAACATTTTCAGATTTATATACAATTAGTTTTTAACAAGTTTATCATAACAATTCAATTTGGAAAGACTTTTTTAATGGTGAAAAAAATACAAAAGAATAAAATCACAGAAAGAAATTAATCCTTAGCCTTGGATATATAGCAGTGATAATGTTTCCATAGCCTGAGTGAGGCCTAGGGTTCGATCCCCAGGATAGCAAAAAAAAAAAAAATTACTTCTATCCTGTGGGAAGGAATGTAAATTAGTAAAAAATAGTTATGAAAAAAATGATGTATGGAAGTTCCTAAAAAACTAAAAATAGAATTATAAGATCGAGCAAGCTCACTTCCAGATATCTACCCAGAGAGTTGAAATCAGTTTGTTAAGGGACATCCGCCCTTACGCATTCTCTGCAGCAACTATTCACAATAGCCAAGTTATGGAATCAATCAGTGTCCACCAACAGACGAATGGTAAAAATGCGGTGTATATACACAACAGAATATTATTCCACTGTTAAAAGGAAGAAAGTTCTGTCATTCGCAACAACATGGATGGAATTGGCCATCATAATGCTAACTGAAATAAGTGAGGCCCAAAAGACAAGCATTATATATTTTCACAGATAAGTGAAGACAATGAAATTTATAGAAGCAAGGAACAGAATAGTGTTTACCCAGGCTGTGGAAGGGGAGTGAGAAGAATAGGGAGATGATGGCCAAAGGATATAAAACCTCAGACAGGAGGAAGATATTTGTTTGTTTTTTAGTTCTATTGCACAACATAACAAACACAGTTAATAATAGAGTACTATACATTTCAATTTGCTGAGAAAGTTAAATTTCAAATGTTCTTACTGAAAACTAATGTTAATATTTTATGTAATAAACATGTTAACTAGATCAATTTAATCATTCCACATGGTATTCAGAAATTGTAAATCACTTTGTATACCATAAATTTGTACAATTATAAATTAAAAACAAATTAAGCACATAAAAATTGACCTAAATGTAAGATGTAAAACCATAAAATGGAAAGAAACATAGAAATAAATCTTTATGCTCCTGGAATTGGCAAGGATTTCTTAAATAAGACACAATATTAAGAAAATCCATTATGAATAGAAAATCCTGTCATAAAAGAACTGTCAGCATGCCAGAGGAATAAGGAAATGAAAACAAATTATCATTTAATAAGCAGGAAGTCCCACA